GTTTTTGTAAAAAATTCCAAGATTCTGGCTATAATTTTTATGTGGGTCATAAATTGAAATTAATAAATAAATAAATAATTTAACATTTCATACAAAATGGCCACATTATACATGTAATATTTTAATATATATTTTAATATAGTGTTTTAATTACTAAGGCTTGTTGTTTACATATATTTTACTAAATTTCTAACATATAATATATATTTGGCATATATTTGTAATATATTTTGGCCAGAAAAAAAAAAATTGCTAACTATGAAATGTGCTCTCTAAAGGCATCTATAAAAAATAAAATAAGTTATAAGATGTAAATGTTCATAAAAAATTACATAACATATTGATTTTATATATAATATGAAAGATTAAGATGTTAAAAATTAAGATGTTAAAAATATATTAAAAATGTTGGTCAGTAGAGGTTTACAAGGGTTTATAATCATTTTTCTAAATCCAACCGCAGAAAATGGCTATTTCTGACTATAATTTCTGGTCTGGGAAATGTTCTCTATAGGTTAAACTTTCAGTTCTTATTGAAAAAAAGAAGAAGATTAATATGATTAAGGTGAAAAAGAATTACGGTATTGAAGGTAATCCTCCTTTTAGCTCCTCAATGTAAACTGTTTTGTAATTAGTGTATCAAAAGTATCACAAACCGGAATCAAAGCTGTGTGTCTTGACATCCCTCATAAGAGAAGGACAATAAGTCTGAAGGAAAAGACTTGTCTTTGCATGCCATCTGTCCTCAGCTCTGACGCTTGCTCTAATTACTGCTTCTCCCTTGGCTAATGCTCCCTCATTAGGCATCGGGAGCATGTGCAATCCACACAAGCACTGAGAAATTTGCACTAAAAACGCTAGCTGGAGCCATAATGGGATCAGAAAATCTGTCTGGTGCGAAAGGCAATTCACACTCGTGGCTAAACGCTCATTTTGCTTTTCTGTCTCTCTTAAATTTGTGCATCATCCACTACAACAACGCTGCTCCAGTCTCAGATTTTTGCTCCAGCATTGAAGTTTCACGCATGTCCTCCCGGACAGCACAAAGACATGAAAGACATGAAAATCGCAATGAAAGATTTGAGAGTTGGCAGATCTTGTTTCAGGGGGGATTCTTTTTGTTTCTTCACCATGCAACAGTGTTAATTGATCACTGCTTAAAACATTTGAGAAGTTCTCAATGGTTTATGAGAGCAATTATGAGTTTTTATCTGGAAAGCAATCTGTGTTATTATCTTTAGGGTAGTAGGTGAGTTCTTGCACACCGCACAGCACTTTCTTGTCTTGTTTTTCTTATTGTGTTAGATTTTTGTGGTTAATTTCTCCTGTTTTGGGTAACCAACAAAGAACAGAAGAAATGAAAAAAAAACACACATACTGAATGTGCTGAAGTAATTAAAATTCACTATCAGTCGACGGATGCAAAGGCTGCCTTTGTTCTGTAAAGCTCACGTTTGTCATTTCTGCACAGCAGGAATCTCAGTGCTGTTTGCTTTTATCTTTATAGCAATCAACGCAATGGGAACGGTAACCGCACACGGCTTTAGAACTGCAATATCAATTGTCATCATTAAATCATTGCAACATCATCGCTGTAATGTGAGCATGGCTCAAGGGTTTTCACTGCATTCCTCAGAAAGGACTGTTGGCATCAGCTGCCAGGAAAAGTGTGATTTATATTCTATCAAAAAAGGCATAGTAACCACAGATATGAAATCTCCCTACATAGTATTTATGTATTGGGATGGATGTTGTATAGCATAAAACACAGGTTGCATCAATGAGGTTAAACACATCTGTCTTATTCACTTCCTAAGGTCATGAGGCCTATTAAAAAATGATTGTGATTTTAACAGTAAAAGACTGTAAAAATGCTACAGTAAAAACCGGTTAATTGGTTATCAGTAACTTTCCATATACAGTGAATAACTGTAATTACATTTAATGTAATTTTACAGTAAAATACTGTTAAAATTATGTTTTTTGGAAGTGAAAAAGAAAAAGTCATTGTATAATTTACATTGAAAAAACGTAAATTGACACTCCCAGAATTCCCTGCATGACACTTCCTATTTTATGTTTTTTCATTGAAATAACTGTTTCTTCTTAGTTTTTTCTTATCAGTTGTGTACATTAGGGTTTTATCTTACATCTAATGTTGTTAAATTAATGTTTATTGCATTATTTCAGTATCGTGTCTGTTACCATGATGGTGTTTAGTGTTTGTGTGAATGACACTGTCCACCTAATATAGCCTATTAGTAATTCCCTCTTCAGCTTGTGGAAGAGCTGTTTGTGATGAGCTTTGATTCATCATGCGACTTTCTCATCACTACCTGTTTTTGGTGGTTATCAGTATTACAATGGCTCAAAACAGATATTAGTTATTCAATATGCTGGTTTATTAACATTACATCAGTTAATGAAATACGTTTTTTTATTGTGAATTTAAGTTAAGTCTGTAAAACCTAAAATGTTGCTACCATATTTTTAACGGTGAAGTTCTGGCAACCACAGCTGCCGGTATTTTACCGTAAATGTCACAGATTTTTTTTTACAGTGTAACATCACATCATTTCACCAAAACATTCAAACAGAGGTATCATTTCATTATGCTAACACATATTAGCTTAGTGCAGCTCAATATTTCAACTGTTAGGTATATAAAATACTTCCTCTGGTATTTCTGCTGTAATTATGGCAAAGCGGCTTGTTTTCAATTTTTATTAACAGAAACTGGGAGTGTTGAAATATAAAATTAATTAACCAGTGCTGCAGGGATGACATATTTTTGGAGGCTAAAACACGGAAATTCACAAGCATTTTAGTACATCCAGTTCCACTGTCCTGTGGTTTTTCGGTTAAATGCCTGAAATGAGGTCAGTGGTTAACACAAACATCATTCTACCACATGAAACACAGCAGTAATAGCCCACCCGTGTTTTTCATAGCTTTTACATGTCTTGAAAAAGGCGGTTGCTCACAAGTGTCTAAATGGGACTATACCGAGGTCTTTACTAGTCTTTACAGTGTTTATAACCATGCTACTGCAAACTATTCTATTCTAAATATTTTAAACATGTAGATTTGAAATAAACATTGAATGAGTCTTTAGAAGCTAGTGAC